CTCCTCCCATTACCTCTAAAGCGCTTTGAGTGGAGTGTCCAGATAAGCGCTATATAAGTGTAAGCAATTATTATTATTATTATTATTATTAGATAACTTTATTAATCTCGTGAGGGAAATTGCAGAAGACAGGAAAACAGAGCGAAAAAGCTTTTGTGAGTTTTTTTTACCAATGCATTTAATCAGGTGATAGTGTTGTCTTAAACTGAAACTAGGACCTGTCTGAAACTCTCCAATCAAGTGAACCCCCAGTTCGTCTTTCCTTGACTGAAATAATGGAGCCCAGTTCCTGGGTGACTGGTGGAATGGAAGGTGGAGTCTAACTGGACTCCCCAAGCATCTGTCTGGATTTTCCTGAGTTTTTTCACATGAGGAGTATTTTTCAGCAGGAGACTTCTCGGTAAAGGGGACAGATCAGGCATCGGATAACTGTAAAGCCTTGGTTGAAGCTGCAGTTTTCTTTCTCTTGAGACGTTGAATCAGCTTTCTTGTTAAAGTTAGGAAGTGAATGCTTGCAAATAGGTAAAGATAGTGACTAGGTTTGATAAGTCCAGTCTTGCATCGACAGAGTTGGTCACACACTTGACTGTGGCTCATTCTCATGTCTTTAAATTTGGTGAATTCATTATTCTGCAGAGGAGGAAAGCATTACATACTTTGTACTGTAATAATGTTAAGCAACAGGTGTCCCTGGGGTTATGTGTAGTCTTGGGGTATCTCCCTGTTGAACAGCTTAGTCCAGGTGCTGTTATTTTCCTGTGAGGCAACAAATCCCTTAGGGGCCATGCGTCCTAATATTTGCGCCTATCGGGGGGGGGTTACACACAGTATGTGGGTGGGAGAGGGGCGCCGTGGCTTCTCAGAAACTGCTGCCCCGACAAATTCTAACACACCGTCTGAAGCAATTGTTTCCAGGTCCTTGCATTTGTCATCTCCGCGTACAAGAAAAATGCAAAAGATTTCGTCCCTATTACAATAAACCCATTTAGAAGTAAATCCAAGAATTCCAGCGCTGTGGTGATTTATTGAACTCTAATAAAGGATGTGCATGATGAAACTATCGGGATGACAGCACTGACTTTTCTAATTTGGTAAAGGACAAATTTGACTAGCGGACTAAATATTTCATAAGACAGCTTGTTAACAATGGTCTGGTTGGTCTGCCCTTAAATACTGGCTTTCAAGAAATCCTTTGCGCATACTTTTACGTCTCTGAGTATTTGACTTGTTTTATTGTGAACGTGTAGGCCTAATCATTTCCCCCCCCCCCCTGTAAGACAAATGAGAGAATGCAAGAGTCAGGGAAATTGGTACAGCCGCGCAGACACTTAACAGGCTGCGCTGATTGGCCAACGAGAGGTTGCCATGCAAACGAAGAAGAGGTCTATATTTTTTTTTTCTTCAAAGTAAGACTCTGTTATTAATGCGAAAGTTATGCAAAATCATTTGGTAGGGCTTCAGTCGTGAAACAGGTGCTAAAGAATGTGTCATCTGTTTGTGACTAAATCCTATCCACCCTCAAACGCACACTGTTCTTCTGCAAAAAGAACAATTTATATATATATAGATATAAGCTACGTCAGGAGCTATGTTAGTAAGCCCAACCGTTTCAGTGTCACTGTATTCTTTCTATGTAAGGGCTGTGCTGAGATCTAGTCAGAAGAGTTATGTTTAGCTGGAGCATCAGAAGGCCACCTGAGTACAGGGATCTCATGTGTATATTCTTTCACCAGCATTGTTTTTGTCCAATGCTCTTGTCTTTCTCCTGTATTTCCTGCGGTGTATATTCTCCCCTATAATGTGCATCCTTCAAGTTCCTGCATTTAAAGAAACAGTCCTCTCCAATACAACGCTGCTGTTTTGTTTATATGTAAGAATGATGGTGGTAACTGACAATGATGGATTAACAAAACAACAGGGAATCAGAAAGTACCAGTTTTTGTAATGCAGAAGACTTCTACAGTGGCACTGTGGTTGCTGTGAAGTGAAAAGTATGAAAGGCAAATAATCGCAGTAAGTTTCTGCCCTCCCTGAGCTGCAGCAGTGTTTTGCTTTGAAATTTAAGGAGTGCAACATGTGGGTGACAACAGAGTGAGTCACCGGCGCTCTGCGGATTTTCCTAAATTAATAAAGTCCTGTTTGAGACACGCAGTGGTGTGAAAACCCTGACACACAGTTCCGGTGGCCGTCACGTATCCCTGTCTCTCCTGAGCCTCCAACACCAAGACAAGACAGCAACGCTGCAGTGTGCTGTATTTAAAATATCAGCCATCTGTTCCCGAATGGGTTTTTTTTTCCCTTGACAGTGGTAATGTATTCAGGTTGTGAATCCCAAAAACTCGCACTGATTTTTGAAGGTGCCTCAGTGCACCCTGATTTCTCTCTTCCAACTTTGTCACTGCAGATCACAGGGTTGGTGGTGTGGTTACTCATACAGAATGATAGGGTATTGCCTGTCATTGGGAGGTCTTACATGGCCTGCTGTTCTTTCCTCAGCTCAACCCATTGCTCTGAAGCTGTTACTGCCAGTGTTTAAAGGCTGTCACAGATCCCCTGCTAATTTCTGTTGACCCCTCTTTCTTTTGCTCTGTGGCGATGAAGCCAAAATAACAGTTTGCTGAGCAACTGGAGCGTCTTCTGCAGAAATCGAGAGGCCAGTGTTTGAATCCCAGTGAGACCTGCTTTCTCCTGGCTCACTGCTCAGCATAATAGACAGGAGGAGAGGAGACAGTTGCTGTTGGGGTGCACGATGCTCTTGGAAGTCCCTGACCCCACAATTAACAGCCCACTATCTCAGCCTGTTGCTCGGGGGGGAAATAAAACACATACAAAGCAGTCGATCCACAGAAAGATATATTTAGTTTCCTTCAGAGTGATTGTGTTTTCTAAATGCGCTCTGATTACTTGCATCTGGGACGGTTGCAAGTGTGGTCAGACAGGGACTGCAGTGTTAGCTCAGGCACAGAAAAGGGTTTTGAAAAGTAGCACTTTCAGTACCGAAGTTATCTGATCTTTGCACTTGCTTCCATATATAAAAATAGGATCAGGTCAGACGTCTGTGCGCTGAGTAAATATTGTGGTGCAGTTTAGTCTGACCGACCGTAGTTCTCGAATGCCCTGGTTCATGTTCTTGTCCATGCTGTGGAGGGGAGCTGTGCAGGGTCCTATGCACTGTTATCGTGTGGTGTATAAGTTCTGTCAGCTCTCTTTGCTCTGGGAGTTAATGGTTTGGGTTCCCTGCCTCCTCCCTTCCCCAGAAGGGTGGTTTTCCATTTCTTGAAAACGAATTTCTTGACTTATTTTCTTGTCACGAAAATCGTCCCATGCATTGCATGAAGAACTTCTGCTGCCTTTTCATACAAGTGCTGAAAAGCGGCCCGCACATAAATGTGCTTCTTTTTGCACCTGCTCTGGTTTCGCTAGAGGAACAGCAAACGGAATCAACAGAGAATGTTTAGTGGCGTTTGCACTTTCTTATAAAGATGTTTTATGGCCTGTCCAGGGTGACTTAAATTTGTGCCTGTTTATCCAACAGAACAACAGAGCAGTCTGAGGGAATTTCTGAACGCTGACTCACCTGGGATTTGAGCCCAGAATGTTCTGGTTATCCGTCCGTAACCCTGACCACTGCACCACGTTTGTGGCCTCAGTCAGGAAGAGTGCATTGGTGTTTCTCAGCTACTGGGATCCTTGAGTAGGTAAACTGTTGAGGCTCCCAGGTCTCACCAGGCACTGAGCAGAGTCTGCTACTTCCTCATAGCCTTAGCTGAGGGTGACGCGTTCTGGGAGCCCCCGATCTGCTATTCTGCTGCAGGCTAGCCCTCAAAGTGTTTCTAGGCAGCGCGTTTGGAGATTTCTCACTGAGGGGACAATCTGCTGCTGTGCATGATACAGCAAGCCTGTCCCATCCCATTTCTGTGGCTTGTAACAGAAAAGAGTCCCTGCCGCAATCCCACGCTTATTTCCTAACTGGTTTAAACTGTTTCCAAGCCACCTGCCTACTCTCCATGAGGGAGTTTTTGAATATTCCCCAGTTTCCAAAGCTTAAGCAGTATTTTTCCGCATCGTTCCCACGAATTAAAGCTGACGACTATCCTTACAAGCGTTGCTCTCATTTTTTTTAGCGGTAGAAGGAAATCAGAACTGCATTCCCCTTTCCTTTCGAATGTTAGTGCTTTAAGGTCCAGAATCGTGTCCAGATGCACGCCTCTGTCAGAAATCCATCGAAGATCTTGTACTTCCTCTTGAACTGTACTTGTTTTTAGAGGGGCACACCATTTCTCAGACCGGTTATTAAATCTCAGTAACAAAATAAATTCATTGACATTACAGAAGTTTTTTGTTTACAAACGTCACAATATTCGTACAATCGTGAACTTCTCGACAGTGCGATAAGTCGCCATGTTATCGCAAACAGAGCGAGAGTCCCCACGAATTGCAACGTGATGCGGCCCTTCCTGCTCACTAGTCACTGTCACGACTGATGTAATGTGATGTCCGAGCGCATAAGTACAGGTGGTGCCGCAGACATTTCAGTGCACAAATGTTCCAATGTAAATGGCATTAATCAGCAAAACCATCTCGAAATCCAGAGCGATATTTCTGTTGGATTAAAGGAGATGTACTGTATTCACAAGCCTGCTTTGTTTACAATGTCATAGGGCCACAACATGTCACCAGAAGTTTTGTTGTCTCATTCAGAATAGCAGAATATGGCACTGCACGCACCTGGACATTACATTTTTTTTGTGATGTAAATGGAAGTTATTGTGTACATTTTACTTTTTATGATGGGTTGAAATGCACTCATCAATGCTGATTTTTTCGAACCCCCGAAATATAGCGTATTTAAATCCGTCGTGCGGTGCGAGACAGTCTTTGGTGCATGCTTAGTTCATTTGTAAGACCCAAAAGCCCCCCCTGTTATGAGTTGGGAGAATGTAGCTCTCCGTGAGTCTAATCCAGGCGTATTCTTTTCTCCATGCTCTTCAAATTGCCCAGCATGCCCTGGGCCGCCGCCTCCCACCATTTTCCCACAAGGCCATGGGGACGCCTCTGCAGACACGTGGTCCTGGAAGTCGCAGCCAGGAGGTTTCGGCGATGCCTTCCGCGGCAGGCACGGTCACTGCAGAGGTCCGCCACAAGGCAGGCGTGCCAAGTTTTCTCCGAAAGCGCCACCTCTGGGCCGGGCAGGGAACTGCACACACCCGTCATGCTGAAGGAGGTGCTGAAGTGCTTGGAACCCCAACCTGGTCAGGTGAGCTCGGGCCGTCCTGTTCTTTTGAGTGCAGGAAAAAAATAAATAAGAAATATAGGCTGCTAGGGCAGACGGGGTTTTGCCACATCATGGACAAATGGGATGGAGGTGGTAAAAAAAACGTTTTGCCGAATATTGCAGTGGAAGAGAAGTCTGTACAAACTAGTGATTGGATGCCAAAGTGAATTTGAGATTCCGCTCGAGATCCGGGGTCTCTCCAATAAGGATACTGACAGACAGAGACCCACAGTCCTGTCTCTGTCTGCTGTCTCAAGATCTGCGGGACAGCAGTGCAGGTGGGCACGCTAACTGGCAGATTAACACCTACAGTAATGTTCAACCCAATCAGCACGGTGATGAATTAATCCAGTGTCTTTGGGAATGGGGGACAGGATAGAACAGGGGGCTTCTAAGGGACTGGATTGGTCCCCACCAGTACACCCCTCAAGTAAACTGCATCGAACTGCAGAGGAAGGTGAACTCGAGAGTTTCTGAGCTTTCTTCTTGCCATTTGAAACACATGCACTGAACTTGTTTATTTGTAATCTGGTTGTTTTCGCACTTTTTTAAAAAATTTTACTCTGAAGCGAAAGATCTGTAAATTGGGCCGTGTGTTGCCAGGCCTCGGTTTGCTAATCCTCTATCAGGACAGATGGGCATGAGTCAAGCCCTTCTGCTCTAGGAAGGAGATAAGGAGGTTGCCTGGTGGCCAGTGGAGGAGGGCACATGTCGCTCTACTTAGCCTGGCCGCCAAGGGCTGAAGCACGATGTGGGAAAGGCAGCCAGGCCTCTAAGGGTCACACAGTGAGTCAGCTGGTGTGCTGCGAAGCTAGAATTCACACCACCACCAGTCCATTAAAACATTTAGGCCCCGTATTTAATAACTCTGTGAGCCACTGAGGCCAACTGGTGCGTGGGAAGTTGCCAGCTCTTCTCACACGCTCAGAAGGCCATTTTTAAATATTTGCCCGTTTCATGTCAGAGTCCACTGTTAATTTTTTTTTTTTGGTGTATTGATGAATTTACTGACACGCTTCTTTCAAGTACACACAGTATTCTGGGCGAAGCCAGTTATGTGCCCTTTCCGAAAGAGACACCACCCCCCCCCCAAACAAAAACGAATGACATTCCAATGCCTTTTTTTAAAAAGGAAGCACCGCCTGTTCTAGTCCCCACGAACTTTGCGAAGTTGGTCAAGGGATGGAAAAAGAGCTCTGTGGGACTGAGTGATGTAATTCCATATTAAGGCATAAAAATGCCCTAACGTCTCATCAGGAGTATTCTAGCAGTACGGTCAGTCATGCTGGCAGGTATAAACTGCAGGAGGCTTCATTCCTGTTTAAGGAAGGCAGACGTTTTAAAAGAGGGGACGTTATAATGTAACTACAGTGTGAGGGTGGCATGCTGCTGGTGATGGCAGTGAGGTTTTCATATCGATGCAGATGATCTGTCCCCTTGATCTCGCACAGGAAAGAAATGTTTTAAGTGGGGAAAGTGAGGGGGGAAAAGTGCAGGACAAGAAAACATCAGAGTCAAGTGGGTCACAGCTTATAGATCCTAACATTCTTTCAGGTCTGTGGGTAACGCAGACGGAGAATGAGACCCGTCTTTCGTGTGGAAACGTTCATGTGTCCGAACGTGGGAAGCGATGGTTGGGTCACTGTCCATTGCAGCAGAGAACATGGAGAACTCGTGTCTTTGAAATCCCGGGGGCTGCTGTTGGCTCTCTGGGTCTCTCAAGGCCGAGCTGCCCTGTCCAGGTGCCAGTGGGCCTACAGGACTGGAGCAGGCTGAAAGGGGTTTTTACCTTGACCGAAGGCATCCCCGGACTCTCAGGGAGCCGGAGGGAACGCTCTTGTGTGTTTGCCGAACAGTCTCTCGTCAGTCATGAGAAAAAGAAACAGGAGGGCAATGTTTTGATTTGTGCAGCTGTTAACAAATTACCTCTGTATGACACTCTTTTCATTCACTGGTGTGCATGAAGGGAGCACTTTAGAGATGAAGGGAGTCTAAGAGCAAAAGCTACAATTACTGCAAGTGGGTAAATGCTGCCATTATCTACTCAGCAGCTTCCCACACAGCTCGGGAGGAGAGCTCCTCTCCCCGCAGACTTGCTGCAGGTGTAGAGAGCACATTCAGCAGAATCGCCAGGGCAGGAAAAATAGGGTAAATTCGTCCAGCACGTTTTACTACATCCCAGCCCGCTGGGCCAGGCCTTACTCCCTACTGTCCCAGGCCATTCGCAGGCATTGTAAAGGCTCATCGCTCCCTGCTCTGTCCGGAATCTGAGAGCTACTCTGTTCACCACCTCCGTGAAAGCACAACACCTGCACACAGAAAGTTATTTAACTGGTAGAAGGGGCTGCATGTAGCCCGGCTAAGAGCTACTCCAGGTATTCCACCAGGGAAGTGCCTACAGGTGTACATCACTACTTTCAGCACTGCCAGCTGTTGGAAACTTGTGCTGTGCTCTACTGTGGTGAAAGAATCCCATTTTCCAGTGACAAGACTGAGATATAACTGGGGTGGAACCCATTTCAGACCTTTGCTAAAAGAAATAGGAAAAGTCCAATTCAGGTGGTTCCTGATGCCCCACAATATGGTTGACCATGGTGAAGCCCCCGGGGCTAGACAGAGTGCATCGTTTAAACACGGGAAAGCAATGAAGGCATCCCCTGGGGTCAATCAAAGGCCTTAGCCAGTGGTGGCTGACTCTAGTGCTCTACATGACCAAGAAGGTGGCTTTAGGTGTATTAGCCGGCATCTTTGATATCACATTCTACAGCGCTTAAGCTGCAGCTGAAGTCATTGTAGGTTTTTTTCTTTCGGGGTGTGGGGCTCCCCTTGACATAACTGTCGATTCGGCAGCTTTCTGGATCCTCCTTTTGTTTGCTGGTAGTTTGGGGGGGCGTAATGTGGGGTGTCCGAGTGGGGCAGCAGACAGTCCTAAAAGGACGCGGACGCAGGACACATGCGTGCCCAAGACCCTCACCTCCGCCTCCCTCCCCCGTGTCTCCAGATAACTGTAATTCTCCACCACTGTCCTAGGTGGCGCCCTACACATCCACTAATTCAAGCTGGTGCAGGAGTGGCAACGCACATCACAGCCTTATCTTGGAATGAAAAAGGTTCAGACTGCTCGAATTTGCTTGAAAGCAAGACTTAATGCGCTGTGCTAAATTTTCCATGACTGTTACCACGCGCGTTTACTCTCAAAGGAAGAGTTCTTGCTTTCAGATTTTATTAGCTTAATTAAACTATTGTGAATGGTAAGAGTGTGATAAGATTACAGAATATAGTAAATGCTCACTTTCTGGGTTATCTGGAACCCCTGGTGAAGTAATGTGTTGGGTTCAGGCATCAGGAACCACTTGAATTGGATTTTTTTCCATGTTTTAGCTAAGGTCTGAAATTTGTTCCACCCCAATTCCATCTCTGCCTTGTTGCTGGAATGGGATCTGGGATTGTACTGGCCAGGTCAGGTGATGAACATCTCTCAGCTGCAACTCAAACCAACTATTGTGAGAGTCCAGTCATTGTGACCCCGGTGGGGTCCTAATATTTTGGCCAGTGGTGGGTGTCGCTCTGTCGTCATTCTTTTCCTCTTAACAAGCAAACCATTGTGGCAGCTGTGTCACAGAGGCAGCAGTTTCACTTGACATTTCCAGTGATATTGATGCATTCAGATTGTTTTCTTTTGTCTGGGCCATCAAGGCGTGCGGTGTAAACGCATTCCGAGGGAACAACCGCCCGTACGGATTCGAACAATCAAGTGATGTGCTGTAGCTGCGTGCGATTCGAAAACGTTTCCACGGCACAGACCTCCCCTTTGCCATTGGAAAATGACAGAAAAACAACCGCAGGAGCACAAGGGAAAAAAAGATAAAGTGTCTTCCCTCAGCTCTTGACATTGGCCTCGTTCACCTCCTCTTGTTTATAAATTACACAAACTAGATCGGGCTCATTAACTGCCAAATTAGCCTTTAAAAGATTACATTTTACACAATTGAATATTCTTCTATTCACCTTGATGGAGATTTGTTACGCCAGCCAGATAACCATTTTACTCTAATTATTTTAGCTATCAAGATGCAATTGTAGCATTTGGCTAATTGAATAATGGACACCGTGGGTCCTAGACCATGATTACTGAGACTGATTTCATAGTCTGTTCCGGAAAAGAAAATGAAGGCAGCAATTTAGTGTCTCTCTGCAGACTCTCGCACAGCTGCCTGTGCAATGCTGTGTCACAAACTGTGCTGTGTCCTCGGTCATGGGGTTTATATCCCTCACTGTGCTGCTGAGCAGCGCTGTTGCTATTACACAGTGAAGTCAGGAAAATAGAAATACTGCTCCACTAAAGGTTTCTCTTCAGGCCCACTTCGAGCTCTTCACAACCAAGTGAAGGAAATAAGAACTGCACACGAGCAGAGGGTGCAGGTGGAGACTACCTGGAAGTGCATTTAAACCTGAGAACTGGAAGGTGCGTCTTTCTTTACCCAAAGAGTTGTGGGGGTCTGGAACAAGCGACCTCACCATGTTATTAGATCGGTTACCTTGGCTTCTTCCAAGAAACTGCCGGATGAGAGCCTTAGATGAATTAGTTGAACTATAATTCAGGCTAGATGGGTCTGGTGGCCTCCTCTCTTATGTAACTCTTAATAAGAACTCCTTACACTTACTTAGAACTTTGACTTTTTCCAAGTTCTACTTGGACACTCCACTCAAAGCTCTTTACAGGT